AAAAAAATCTGCTGCATATTTGTTCAAAAAAATCTGCTGCATATTTGTTCAAAAAAAATCTGCTGCAAATTCAAGAGTGCTGAAATTTGGTTATTCAAGAGTGCTTTTGAAGAGTGCTGCAAATTCAAGAGTGCTGAAATTTGGATATATATTCAGCGACAGTTTATGTTTAATCTTTTGAAGTTGGGACAAATTTATTACTGTCGCAGTCAAGTATAGAATGTTCATACATGGCATGATAGTTTTGTGTTAAATTGTGGTGTAATAGCTAGGTTCCAATATGTGTCTTCCATCAACGATCTTTTAGTATTAATTTTAGTGAGCCAACAACCCAGATTGATAACCCCAAAACCCCAATCCTAAAACGACCTCCAAAAACCAGCACCGAAAACCAATCCTCAATGCAAAAGCCAAAGCTAAAACACAAAGGTAAACTGTTCGAATCCACGTGTTTCATTGTCACTCAATATCCTCCTAGCCAGCAACCTAAAAACGAAAAATGCTTAGATAAGCACTCCCTCATAATAATGGTGTGTTTGATAGTGCTTGAAATCCATTATGCAAATGGTTAAAATCCAGGTCTTGTTTTAAAGTGATTGAAATCCATTTATGTGTTAGATAATCTGCAAGTGCTTTTTATTTATGTGTTTTTTTAGAGTGCTTGGAATTCATTAATTTGATAGATAAGTATTTTGTTCCTTGTTAGTGCCTAACTACTCTGATATAACTCTATACATCCTACATAAGTCCAACATAATCTGCTCTTGGAGTCTTGGTTCGTAACAAAAAGCCTTGGTTTTTCAATGTCAACCTACATCCAGCCACAAAGTCATGTTTCATCATCTTTATCATCAACATCTCCTCCCGATAAATGTGATGCATTCATTCGCTTGATACATTATATACATACGATTTACGGTTCTCTAAATTTTGTGTTTTTACATCTATTTGAATGCCTTTTTCTTTGATTGATTGGTAATCTGCGTTGCTACCATCTCGAAAAAAAGCCTGGTTTGAGAAAATCAAAACCAACTACATCCCAGAAAAAAAATGGAGGTGAACAAAAATTCAAGTCTCTTGTCTACTGCACGCCAGCAACAACAAGATAAGTACCATCAACTTACAATCTAAGGTCTATGAGTTCTTTCATTCCCTTTATCAAAACAAGCTTCGCATCACTGAAATTAGACCCAAATATACAGATTCTGCTTTTACTATGTAACTATTTGCAGATTCGATTTCAAGAAATAGCTTGACCCCTTTTTTTGTCCACTCCCATTCAACACGTTCATTTCCACATGTTTCAAGCAACACACAAGTGGGATCTTCTAGAGGTAAGAGATACTCTTTTTGTCCTAAAATGATTTTCTAAAGGTGGTTTAGTACAGTTTTTTATTAAAAGAAGTTTAGTGTCAGTGTATTGAAAACTTAGAAAAGTAATATGCATCACACGCCTTTTCCTGCAAACAAAAGTATATAGAGTAAATGCTTGAATTGGGTATGCAATTACATTCTTCACCTGCTATAGGAGTACATCCTTGAGTGATTCACGCGATGCGTTGCTACGGATTTTGCTAGAATTTTGGATTTCCCAAAAAAAGGTAATTGATTTGAATTAATTTCAAAATTTTAACGCGAATTGGTTGTTTTCTGGCTGAAATACCTCTGACGTCCCTTTCAGTTTTCAGCTCAAAATTTTGGAATATTCTCCTAATTATTAATAATTTAAATGTACGTTACATTTTTGTCAATCAAACAGGTATTTATATTCGTGTTTTTGAGATGGAATGAAACACAGTCCTGTGCTTTGCTTCCAGGTTTGTGAATTGTTTCTGGTTATTTAAAAAAATTTACAGTCATTGGTAGTGAATGTTTTTCTCCTCCTATTGTGATGGTTATTTGTAATTACCCAGTTTCTTTTCATTGTTTGTACTGTATAATTTTTTTTAAAAAATGCCAGGTTCACTTTCAAATGCTCTAATTTCCAAGATCGTTGTTAAGGTAAGTACTACTTCTTCACAAAATAGTTCTTCACAGAAATCATTGTTAAGGTAAGTATTATTTGTTTATACAAATCTTTTTCTTAAAGCAAGCTTAGAGTCTTTCTTTAAAGTCACCATCCTGGCCTCTTCTTCAGTTAGTGTGTGCAAAAAATAACCCATAGCCTGTATGATAGCTTAGTAGCACCCAAGCAGTTTGCTGTTGATTCTGGCAAGAGTTTGACACACTAACATGTTCAGCCTATATGTCAGATTGGCATGAAAGAAATCAACCTATCAACTTATTCCCAGTTTTTCCAAATTTAAGCCATCACCTATATGAATCTGGAAAGAATTTGACACACTAACATGTTCAGCCTATATGTTAGATTGGCGTGAAATAAATCAACCTATCAACTTATTCCCAGTTTTGTCAAATTTACGCCATCACGTATATGGTTAAAAACATGCTTTTACGAAATTATTTGAATATCATTACATAGCCTATTGGTCGAGGCATTGCATTTCTTGGTTTATTGATCTCTTGAATGGGAAACGTGACCACATTGCATATCCTTTTAACCTTTTTCTTATGCTATTGTGGTTGTGGTCTGTTCACTTGTCACAATAGTATCCTGTTTTGGTTCATTTTTAAGGTAAGTATTATTTGTTTTACTTCATTGAAAGATAAGTATCCTGTTTTGTCTGTGGTTTGTCAATTGTTTCTGATTTTTAAAAAAAAATTTACACTCATCGACAGTGAATGGTTTTCTCCTCCAATTGTGATGGTCCTATATGGTTAAAAACATGCTTTTAGGAAATTATTTGAATATCATTGCATAGCCTATTGGTGGAGGCATTGCATTTCTTTGTGTATTGATCTCTTGAATGGAAAACGTGACCACATTGCATATCTTTTTAACCTTTTCCTTATGCTATTGTGTCTGTGGTCTGTTTACTTGTCACAATAGTATCCCGTCACCGCAGTACGTCTCTGACTACTCATATTTAAGTAGACAATGACTTTTCTTTTCTACATAAAACTTGCGCCTGTTGAGAGAAATAATAATACATATTGAAGAAGGGCAAAAAAATGTTACAGATACTGATGATAAGACTTAAAATGTTTAATCTCTGCATTGATTTAAATACTGGTTTACATCTGTCAATTGTGGTTGGCATGTTGAACTTTAATCTTTGAGACTGTTTTTGGGGCAGGTTTTACTGTTACAGTTGAAAGTTCGTTTTGACTTTTGCTTATACGGTTTAGTTTCGTAATACTATGACACTTCTCTTAGGAAACATAGGCAAACCCATCCCCAATAAACTAAGTCTAAGGTCATAGGTCCAACCCAGTCACCACACATCCCATACGAAATGGCCGAGTTTAACACGTGAAACTGCCCATGGGTCAGTATTCCAGTTTGAGCCCCAATGCATCGACAAATAATTGGATAACCATATTGGCATAATTACATAACCGAATATCCCCAATACCCAGTATTTTTTGACATCTTAAACTTGGTGCACTGTCTTATTCTATGTGCAGTGTCTTATTTAAACAGCACCGTCTTTTCTAAAGCAAAGCAAGCCTTCCTTGACAAGGAAAATCAAGTCTCATCAGAATCTTATGGCTCCCTGCATAACAGATTCCCTGTAATCGGAAATAAGGACAGAAAATTTAATGACCTCACTCACCTCACGGCTTGCTTATTTACGGTTAGAATATACATTTGACTATTACACTAGAATTTTGGGATAGGTTCAGCCTACGGTATTTCTTTCTTTGTTTGAAGATTGACTATTAGGCGGCCTACTTTTAGGGTAAGTAGGAGGTTTGGGTTTGAAAATCCTTTTTGGCTTTGCTTTTAGGAGCATATTTTGGAAAAACTTTGGTTGTGCTTTTGAGCTTTCGTTTTGGCATTCAGGTATGTTTATCGGTTGGGGATTAATGCTTTTGTGATTCTTTTTTGAAGAAAACAATATCCAATTTCGAATTGCGTTTTATCATTACACAAATGATGTTTTCGTTAGAACCTAGGTTAAGGATTTCAACCAACATTTTATAATGCTTTTTTGGGGAAAGAGTGAGGGCTCATTCGAAGTAATAGTATGAGTGATATAGTACCTTCAATTGAATTGAATTCTGTCATAGACAATCTTTCACACCATCTCATTAAATTCAAAGTAAATTCACATTTCACAAGCTACATCACACACAAAAATTAAAAAAAACCAAACTCACAAGTCAATGAAAGATACACATGAAATGTACATACCTACATAACAAAAGTTTAATGATTAACATGCACAACACCAAATTGTCTTTATCAACTTCGGGTTCACTCAATATTACTCGAAGTTCTCAGTTATGTAGAATAAACAAAAAAATGTCATACTCATATTAATCACATTTATTAATAAAACTACCCACAAAATTTTAAGAACATTTATTTTAAGTTATCTGAAGCAAATTTTATACAATTCAACCCAAAGAGGATTACAAAATATTGCATCTTTTATTCTTTAAAGTTCAAAAAACAAGAAGCAGCAAGTGTGGGGTGGGTGAAAGTGGTTCGAAAGAAGGCTGTATATCCAGAATTTAAATGAACTTATAATTCAACAATCAAACACTAGCAAACGTTTCCATGGAAAATAAAAAAAACATGATAAAATAAAGGATTGTTAATACGTTTTGTGCCACAAAAGAATAGGACACTAATATATGTTACAAATGGAAAAGAACCTGTTGCCTTAGGTGTGCGTGTACCACGACTATACAATTCATACACATCTAAACTACAACCTTTGAAAGTAAACACTCCAGTCCATTCCAAGATACAACTCAACCATGATCATTACTCTAACTGAAGCACTTCTTATAATATATATATATATATGTGTGTGTGTGTGTGTGTGTGTGTGTATATATATATATACCATTCTATGTATATAAATACTGAAGAAGGTTAGGTATCCCCTAATTATATGCACTTTTTCCATCCAACTACTTAGTACATTCTGGCTTTATAGTTGTACACTATTATTTCATTCCATCTTTACCCACACACCGTTAACTGACTTCCTCCGCTCCCATTCCACGTGGTAGACAAAGCAATGCACAGGGCAAAATATTAATTCCCAATTGAATACTGACTTCAATCCCTATTTGATTTCAGAGTCTTATCCGTTTCTTTTGCTGAAACATGGTCCATGATCGCCATCTAGAACCCTATGTTGCTGGCTCCCTCATCGCAATCAAATTTCCGAGCTGCCATTATTTGATTCAGGCCAGTGATTGCAGTACCTCTGTAACTTGAGGTATGTCAAAATTCCTAATTTATTTTCTTTATTCAATTTATCGTATTCTAATATTTAGGTTTTTTCCTGCATTGTTTAGTATTGTTTGTATTTGGATTAATGGATTGTTTTGTTTGTTTTGTTGGATATTTGATTATTGATAAATGCTAATTTTATTTTAATCAATGATAAATTATTGTTGAAATTTGTCAATTTGGAGTTTAATTTTTAGGTTGGAATGGATGGAAGGGTCCTAAAAAACCTCTAGAAGAGGTAAACAGCAATAAATGCTGATGAACCTCGGCCTTATTTTTCCCAAATCAGCTTCTTGGGTCATCCATTTTTGTTCCCATGGATGAAAACGCAACTCTGAATAACCTTGAAGACCTCACTGATCAACAAATCAGCATTAGCCCCCCAACCACTTTAAAGCTTAGAGCATTAAACTTCTTCTATATAGACCAAGCTATCATTCCCAACAGAATTCCTTCAAGATTTCCTTCAAAGCTTCTATTGTTAGCAGTCATAAACCATTTCATGAGGTGTTGGGAGAGAGTTAAATGATCCCTTCTGTTAGACTCTTAAATAATATCTCTTAAGTGTGGCTAAACCTGTGTAAACATTGTGCAGTGTAGAGGGTAGTGATAATGGTCTTCTCGTTCTTTACAAAACAGACAATGTGATGCCATATGAATGTTAATCATCTTTAGATTATTGTGTAGAGGGAGGGTTCCATTAAATAGGCTCCATAAGAACACACTTACTTTAGGGATTTGATGCCTATTCCAGAGAGTACTTAAGAGGACTAGGTTTTGGGATCAACTACTCTACAGCCTCAAAAGCCTTTTCCAGACTAAACATGCCAGAGTCCGAAATCAGAATCCATCCTTAGATGAGAAAAGGAGCTGTCCAATGAGGTTAACTCTGTAAATCTTTAGGCTTAACCAGTTTCTCCCAAGCCCTCAAATGGTTCCTTTTCAGGTTTCCTGATGTAATATTAAGACCTTTTTTTATATATAGATGAGATGGATACGGAGACACAGCATATGAGACTGAACTCAAATGGTAAGTTTAAAGTATAATTATAAATTAAGGCCCATTATTATTTTTATATCTCTTTTATTTTAATACTCACATTATTTTTGTGAGAGATCGATCATAATCAAATGCTGATTTCCCCAGAATTGGCAGCTAATCTTCAGCAATCCATTGTAATGAAACGCGAATTGCCCTTCTGGATTCGATTTTGTTTGTCGATTCTCTGATTTCTGTTTCAGACCGGGCGACTTAATCACCTACACTTGGTTTGGCTACGTTCCCAGGTAATTATAGGACCACACGGAATTCTGGGCGATGCATCAGCAATTGACCATACTCCATCATAATAACAACGTAATTACATTAGATGTGCAGATTTCCCTTTTTGAATCAAACGATTTTCCTGATTCCTCGTTTTATATTTAGGGATCCTTGCCTAATTTATCCATGGGGAATTATTTCAGCAATGACGTTAATTCTCAATAACTTTGAAAGGGGCTATTTACATTGATTTTTGGGTTATGGGATGAAGCACCATCTCCAGGGTTTCCTCCTAGATTTGATTATATGAGTTATTTGGCTTGTTCTTCTCTTTGTTCTTTGTTTCTATTATTGCAACTAATCGACCATTTTACATGTATGGGTACGCGTCAACCTGTAAAACCTTGGAAAATCATTTTGCAGGTAATTTAAATTCCAATCATTACTTCTACAATGTAACACCTTCAATACAACCGCTAATTGAATGCATTTATTTAAGAGTGCTGAAATTTGGATATATATTCAGCGACAGTTTATGTTTAGCAGTTTATGCTTTTGAAGTTGGGACAAATTTATTACTGTCGCAGTCAAGTATAGAATGTTCATTCATGGCATGATAGTTTTGTGTTAAATTGTGGTGTAATAGCTAGGTTCCAATATGTGTCTTCCATGAACGATCTTTTAGTATTAATTTTAGTGAGCCAAAAACCCCGATTGATAACCCCAAAACCCCAATCCAAAAAGAGACCCAAACTCTAAACCCAAACATCAAAACCCAACCCTAAAACGACCTCAAAAAACCAGCACCGTAAACCAATCCTCAATGCCAAAGCCAATGCTAAAACACAAAGGTAAACTGTTCCAATCCACGTGTTTCATTGTCACTCAATATCCTCCTAGCCAGCAACCTAAAAATGAAAAATGGTTAGATAGTCACTGCCTCATAATAAGGGTGTGTTTGATATTGCTTGAAATCCATTATGCAAATGGTTAAAATCCAGGTCTTGTTTTAAAGTGATTGAAATCCATTTATGTGTTAGATAATCTGCAAGTGCTTTTTATTTATGTGTTTTTTTAGAGTGCTTGGATTTCAGTAATTTGATAGATAAGTATTTTGTTCCCATGTTGTTAGTGCCTAACTACTCTGATATAACTCTATACATCTTACATAAGTCCAACATAATCTGCTCTTGGAGTCTTGGTTCGTAACAAAAAGCCTTGGTTTTCAATGTCAACCTACATCCAGCCACAAAGTCATGTTTCATCATCTTTATCATCAACATCTCCTCCCGATAAATGTGATGCATTCATTCGCTTGATACGTTATATACATACATTTTACAGTTCTCTAAATTTTGTGTTTTTACATCTACTCACATGCCTTTTTCTTTGATTGATTGGTAATCTGCGTCCGCTACCATCTGGAAAAAAGCCTGGTTTGAGAAAATCAAAACCAACAGATGCCTACATCCCAGAAAAAAATGGAGATGAACAAAAATTCAAGTCTCTTGTCTACTGCACGCCAGCAACAACAAGATAAGTACCATCAACTTACAATCTAAGGTCTATGAGTTCTTTCATTCCCTTTATCAAAACAAGCTTCGCATCACTGAAATTAGACCCAAATATATAGATTCTGCTTTTACTATGTAACTATTTGCAGATTCGATTCCAAGAAATAGCTTGACCCCTTTTCTTGTCCACTCCCATTCAACGCGTTCATTTCCACAGGTTTCTCACAAGCAACACACAAGTGGGATCTTCTAGAGGTAAGAGATACTTTTTTTGTGCTAAAATAATTTTCTAAAGGTGGTTTAGTACAGTTTTTTATTAAAAGAAGCTTAGTGTCAGTGTATTGAAAACTTAGAAAAATAATATGGATCACACGCCTTTTCCTGCAAACAAAAGTATATATCTTATTTTTAATCATGTTAGAAGTAACAGAGAAAATGTATATTTCTTATTTTTCGTATCATGAATATTAAATTATTTATGATCTTTACTTACGCCTAAGGGATATTATTAAGCCAAAGACAATATGATGCTTTATTTTTTGATTATGCTAATTCATTATTCTTCCATAATCAAAATTTATAAGTGTATCAAATGATAGTGTCACATGGAATGTTTGTAACATATATTGCTTATATCTTCTTTTTTAGGTTATAAAAAAATAATATATGGTTCTGAACCAAACCTATTCAAAATGAATACGAGGTAGGTTGTTGACCCTCAAATGAGTAGTGGACAGAAGAATATTTGGATTTTCATTTCCGTTTTGGTCTATTTACTAATTTTCTTGGACATTACTACGTCAATTAACCCTTGTCTCCTACACTCCAGCAACAACAACATAAGTACCATCAACTTACAGTAAAAGGTCTATGAGCTCTTTCATTCCCTTTATCAAAACAAAGCTCGCATCACTGAAATTGGAGCCAAATATATAGATTCTGCTTTGACTATGTAACTATTTGCACATTCAATTTCATTTTTATTCAAAAAAACAGCTTGACCCAATTTCTTGTCCACTCCCATTCAAGACATTCATTTCCACAGGCTTTGCACAAGCAGCAACACACAAGTGGGATCTTCTACAGGAAACAAATACTCTTTTTGTCCCAAAAAAATTATTAAGCTGGTTTAGTACACTTTATTATTAAATGAAGTTCAGTGGCAGTTGATTGAAAAGTCTTGAAAAATAATATGGACCACACACCCTGTTATACCCGAGACCCGGGGTCTTATCACGTTGCTATTTTAGAGAAGGAATTATGGGGAGGTGAGGGGGAAATGGGGTGGCCGAAATATTATGGGGCAAAAGGGGAGTTCTTTTGGTGTTTTTTTTATGAAGAAAAAGAAGAGGTTTAGGAAGAGAATATGGGGAGGCACGAAATGGGGGAATAAAATAGGAGGGGATAAACCAAGTTGGTGTTAAGAGATATGACACACTCTTATCTTAACTTGGGGTTTGAATCTAGAATTCAAATAAGATATTNGCCGAATTATATATGAAGGGGAAAGTGGGGGGGAAACACACAATACAATTAATGGGACATAAGGAAGCTTCCTAGCAAATATTCATCAGCCCCTCATGTCTTCTAGGTAGGGAGAAAATTCAGAGATGATGTGTGGCTGTGGAGCTCCCTTCTCGGCCTTTAGTGCATGGGAAATATTTATGTGAATAATACCCATACTTTGATTGGTTTTTTGGGTGATGTATTCTCGGCCAAGTGGGGGTAAAAGAGAGGGAAGGCTGGCTGTTCTTTTGGAGGTATCTCTTGGGTGTTTATGTAGAGAATAAGAGAGAGTTGATTGAGTTAGTGGTGGGCCAGGGCTGTGCAGCTTTGTTGGGGAACAAAAAGGGGGGACAGGGGCAGGTCTCTTACATGGAATAAGAGAGGGGTTTTGGCTGGTAATGGTGGGTTTATTGTGTGAAATATGGGAGTGGTTTTGGCCTGGTATCCTTGACTCTCAAATGAGGGAATTGAAGTGTTTTGTTTGGTTGTGGTTTATGCAAAGAAGGTGTATTAGGGGTGATATGGGGTTCATGGGATGCCCTAAGTTTGACCAAAGAAAGAAAGGAAATAGGGAAATAACAACAAACAAAAGGTTTTGGTTTACACACTCTTATTTTCTGCCATAGGCTAAAAATAAGTGTAGGAAAACATTATTTTGAAAGGAATTAAATGACAAGGAACTTTGGATGTTTAGGGAAGGAATGGGGGGGTGTTGGTTCGGCCTAGGTGGGGTGTAGGACAGCCCCTGGTGTTGGTTTGGGCTTTAGGGAAGGGCGAAGGAATGGATTCAACCCTAATAACGTCACCAGACTTTGGATTTATTCCCCTGATCCGTCTTTCCTTTTGTGGGCTAAGGAAAGTCTCCGTTGATGCTCCCGGATATCTAACACACCCTTTCCTGCGAACAAATTAGAAAGAATATCTTAGAAAGCCAAGAACACAAGTACGATTTTTTTCCATCCAAAAAATATGTACTCTTAGGCTTTAGAGTTGTACCATAGCATATACTACCCATTGTGCCCCTAACTAGGTTATACTCTCCGTCTACTGTGGAGTAAGTATATACATTTCGAATTTCTTATCTCTTGTCGTATGCATCCAAACAAAACCCAAACAAAATCCGGATCATTCTCAGGCTCGCAATTTCTTCTCTGTAATTGGATTAAAGGTTCGCGAATTCCGTGGCACCTGCTAGAGTAAATGCTTGAATTAGGTATGCAATTACATTCTTCACCTGCTATAGGAGTAAATTCTTGAGTGATTCACGCGATGCGTTTCTACGGATTTTGCTAAAATTCTGGATTCCCCAAAAAAGGTAATTGATTTGCATTAATTTCAAATTTTTAACGCGAATTGGCTGTTTTCTAGCTGAAATACCTCTGACGTCCCTTTCAGTTTTCCAGCTCAGAATTTTGGAATATTCTCTTAATTATTAATAATTTAAACATACGTTACATTTTTGTCAATCAAACAGGTATTTATATTCATGTTTTTGAGATGGAATGAAACACAGTCCTGTGCTTTGCTTCCAGGTTTGTGAATTGTTTCTGGTTATTTAAAAAAATTTACAGTCATTGGTAGTGAATGATTTTCTCCTCCGATTGTGATGGTTATTTGTAATTACCCAGTTTCTTTTCATTGTTTGTACTGAATATTTTTTTAAAAAAATTCCAGGTTCACTTTCATATGCTCTAATTTCCAAGATCGTTGTTAAGGTAAGTACTACTTCTTCACAAAATAATTCTTCACAGAAATCATTGTTAAGGTAAGTATTATTTGTTTATACAAATCTTTTTCTTAAAGCAAGCTTAGAGTCTTTCGTTAAAGTCACCATCCTGGCCTCTTCTTCAGTTAGTGTGTGTAAAAAATAACCCATAGCCTGTATGATAGCTTAGTAGCACCCAAGCAGTTTGCTGTTGATTCTGGCAAGAGTTTGACACACTAACATGTTCAGCCTATATGTCATATTGGCATGAAAGAAATCAACCTATCAACTTATTCCCAGTTTTGCCAAATTTAAGCCATCACCTATATGAATCTGGAAAGAATTTTACACACTAACATGTTCAGCCTATATGTTAGATTGGCGTGAAATAAATCAACCTATCAACTTATTCCCAGTTTTGTCAAATTTAAGCCATCACCTATATGGTTAAAAACATGCTTTTACGAAATTATTTGAATATCATTACATAGCCTATTGGTCGAGGCATTGCATTTCTTGGTTTATTGATCTCTTGAATGGGAAACGTGACCACATTCCATATCCTTTTAACCTTTTTCTTATGTATTGTGGTTGTGGTCTGTTTACTTGTCACAATAGTATCCTGTTTTGGTTCATTGTTAAGGTAAGTATTATTTGTTTTACTTCATTGAAAAGTAAGTATCCTGTTTTGTCTGTGGTTTGTCAATTGTTTCTGATTTTTTTAAAAAAATTTACTTTCATCGACAGTGAATGGTTTTCTCATCCAATTGTGATGGTCCTATATGGTTAAAAACATGCTTTTTGGAAATTTTTTGAATATCATTGCATAGCCTATTGGTGGAGGCATTGCATTTCTTTGTGTATTGATCTCTTGAATGGAAAACGTGACCACATTGCATATCTTTTTATCCTTTTCCTTATGCAATTTTGTCTGTGGTCTGTTTACTTGTCACAATAGTATCCCGTCACCGCAGTACGTCTCTGACTACCCACATTTAAGTAGACAATGACTTTTCTTTTCTACATAAAACTTGCGCTTGTTGAGAGAAATAATAATACATATTGAAGAAGGGCAAAAAAATTGTAACAAATACTGATGATAAGACTTAATTAATCTTTACCATGATTTAAATACTGGTTTACAGGTTTACGTATTCACTCTCCCTTAAGGTCTGTCACTCGTGGTTGGCATGTTGAACTTTAATCTTTGAGACTGATTTTGGGCCGGGGCAGGGTTTACTGTTACAGTTGAAAGTTCGTTTTGACTTTTGCTTATACGGTTTAGTTTCGTAATACTAAGACACTTCTCTTAGGAAACATAGGCAAACCCTTCCCCAATAAACTAAGCCTAAGGTCATAGGTCCAACCCAGTCACCACACATCCCGTACGAAATGGCCGAGTTTAACACGTGAAACTTCCCATGGGTCAGTATTCCAGTGTGAGCCCCAATGCATCGACAAATAATTGGATAACCATATTGGCATAATTACATTACCGAATATCCCCAATACCCAGTATTTTTTGACATCTTAAACATGGTGCACTGTCTTATTCTATGTGCAGTGTCTTATTTAAACAGCACCGTCTTTTCTAAAGCAAAGAAAGCCTTCCTTGACAAGGAAAATCACGTCTCATCAGAATCTTATGGCTCCCTGCATAACAGATTCCCTGTAATAGGAAATAAGGACAGAAAATTTAATGACCTCACTCACCTCACGGCTTGCTTATTTGCGGTTAGAATATACATTTGACATTTACTCTAGAATTTTGGGATCGGTTCAGCCTACGGTATTTCTTTCTTTGTTTGAAGATTGACTATCAAGCGGCCTACTTTTAGGGTAAGTAGGAGGTTTGGGTTTGAAAATCCTTTTTGGCTTTGCTTTTAGGAGCATATTTTGGAAAAACTTTGGTTGTGCTTTTGAGCTTTCGTTTCGGCATTCATGTATGTTTATCGGTTGGGGATTAATGCTTTTGTGATTCTTTTTTGAAGAAAACAATATCCAATTTCGAACTGCGTTTTATCATTACACAAATGATGTTTTCGTTAGAACCTAGGTTAAAGATTTCAACCAATATTTTATAATGATTTTTTGGGGAAAGAGTGAGGGCTCATTCGAAGTAATAGTATGAGTAATATAGTACCTTCAATTGAATTGAATTCTATCATAGACAATCTTCCACACCATCTCATTAAATCTACATACCTACATAACAAAAGTTTAATGATTAACATGCACAACACCAAATTGTCTTTATCAACTTCGGGTTCACTCAATATTACTCGAAGTTCTCAGTTATGTAGAATAAAAAAAAATGTCATACTCATATTAATCACATTTATTATTAAAACTACCAATAAAATTTTAAGAACATTTATTTTAAGTTATCTGAAGCAAATTTTATACTATTCAACCCAAAGAGGATTACAAAATATTGCATCTTTTATTCTTTAAAGTTCAAAAAACAAGAAGCAGCAAGTGTGGGGTGGGTGAAAGTGGTTCGAAAGAAGGCTGTATATCCAGAATTTAAATGAACTTATAATTCAACAATCAAACACTAGCAAACGTTTCCATGGAAAATAAAAAAAAACATGATAAAATAAAGGATTGTTAATAAGTTTTGTGCTAGAAAAGAATAGGGCACTAATATATGTTACACATGGAAAAAAACCTGTTGCCTTAGGTGTGTGTGTACCACGACTATACAATTCATACACATCTAAACTACAACCTTTGAAAGTAAA